TGAACATATACCTACAGAACAAATCAGCAGCGACCTAAAATTACATTTTTAAAGAGTGGTTTTAAGTCTTGTCTTTGACAATCAAATCAGAATGTAATGTTTGAAAATCTTTCTTCATATAAAATGCCTTATGTAAATCTATTACAGGTAGATGCAGATAGAAACACAAAAGCCTCAGCTCGGTCGTCATTATTCTCAGTGAGTGGCACCTTACTCTCTGAGTAACTGAGTAGTTCTCTAGCACGAGAATTAACCTGGTCTCAAGTGAACAATTTCAGTTTTCAGAACTATCAAAGCAATACCTGAGTTTCTGCAATGAGCTTCAGGCTTTTTTTAGGTGAACAGTAATCATGACTCCCACTCCTCAGACTGAAAGCTGGATGTATTTTCAAGGGAAATACTCTTGTATAAACACAACTTAATGGCTAACCTATAAGATTTACTATATAAAATTCTATGGACTATACTGAAAGGTATAGCAGCCTATATATTGTTGCAGCTATCCCTTGTGGCTTGAAAGTCTCTTAATCATACTATATATCTCTTGTCAAGATACTCGTGCTTTTTCTTTTTAGTAATAGTTAAAATATATTATTCAACTGTACATTCAATACTCGCAGCTGTAATGGAAATCAAATTTCTTTTCATACATACAGAAAACTGCTTAATTTACATGTTAGTCCTGGAATTGCAATGAACAGCGGCACATCATGCTGGGGCATTTTTGTTGCTTAATACTTATTTACATTTGCTCTGAGAATAGGAAATTTCAAAGTCCTATTTAAAAAAAAAAAAAACAAAAAAAACCCACCTCATTATGCAGTAGTACTTTTCAACATCAAATTGAACTAATACTTCAGGATACCAAAGGAGCTATGGAATTTGTATTGACTTACAGAGAAAATCTAGTGTCTGAGTCAGGGATAGAAGACGTTACAAAGATTTAGTCTCTAAATACAAAATAATAATAAAATGCTCTTTTAAATTATGTGGGGAAGAAGAATAAAGCTTAGCATGTTGCCTTAATGCTTAAGTTGTGCTCTATTCTAGTTTTTAAATGTAACAAACGAAATTCCCACCGAAAATGAGGGAAAGTCATGTCTTGGAAGGGGATGTTGTCCACGTACCCAAATGATAGTTGAAGCTTCATCTCTATGAAGCATACTTGAACACATCAGCCTACAGCCCTACCAGTTCAGGATGCAAACTAATCTGGTAAAAAATCAGATGTGAAATGAAAGAGATTACAATGATGATGTCCTCATGGTGCAAAATGGAACTTAGTTCCAACTATCTAGTCAAGTGCAGCTGTACTAAAAAAGCCCCTACAGTCCTGTCTTGTAAATAATGCACCACTCATATACAGTTTTAAGTCCAGCTTTGTAAGTGGCAAACAATCAGACAAACCTGGGGCTGCTGAAGGAATATGGATCTACTTTTTCATGGTACTTTTATTATGCAAGCGAAACACAGGAGGAGACAACCGGGACATTTTGTGACCAAGCTCCTCTTCGAGTCTGCCAACCCTGCCTGTGCTCTGCCTGTACTCGGAACGTGATTACCTTCTGCAGAACTTAAAATATTGATTTGAGGACATTGCTATGGAGACTCCGAATGGGAAAGCTCAACTACTTGATCTCTCTTAAAACATTTCAGTTTTTTATTGTTGCCATAAAGGCTACTGGCGCACATGTGGACTGGAGCCCTCTAAACTGGGTTTCACACCCATGTGTTC